GGGGGGGGGACTCCTTCCCCAAGGAAAGCAGCACACCCAAGAAGCAGGCATACAGAGCGGTTATACACCATCCCCCAGACAAGACCACACATCACATACAACACCAACATCTCTTTTACTACTATCATGAGCTGCTTAGCTGGCATAGCAGGCTGGTGGTCAGCAGGTCAGTGGTCAAAAGGTCAGCACAGCAGGTCCCTAATTAATCCTTAGTTTACAGGAAGAGATGCTTATCCTGAGAGGAATGCCCATATGGGGGACGCTATATCCCTATTTTTAAAGACATCATTCTCATCTTTGGAACATTATAAATGTTTCAATCAGACGGACAAAGAGACTGGACAGGCCACATCAAGCCCTTCTGGAAAAATACGGTCAGGCCGAATTACTTATACACCAAGCCGCTTCCTCATATACTCCAATATCCTATCGCTTTTCATTTATTCATCCAGGGGAGGGTGTGATGGAGCAAAAAAGTGACATGTTAATCTCGGGCATCTAGGAAGTGGCAATATAGAAATCTTTTTGGTACTCTTCTTGCGATTTTTCTGTTAAGTTTGGAATCACTGTAAACGCGTTCTTTTTAAAACAGAAGATCTCTTTTACGGTCCAGGAAGTCGGCGCTCCCCTCCGTCACCGTCCAGCGTTCAGGAGTGGAGGCCCGCAAGCGCGCGCCCGTCCAGCCAACTCCTCCCGGCTCCTCGGACCCGCGGCCGGGCAGCCCCGCCAGCACGCTTACCCTCCCGGGAGCGGGAATGAAGGCACGCGGACCCAGGCCACGACGACTCCGTCCTCGCTGCCCCCTCAGCGGCGCCCGCTCGCCGCCCGAAGCCCGCGGGCACGGGCTAAACGCGGACCCACCATCTGCAGTGCGGCCCCTGAGGCCGTCCCTTCACACGGCGCCCAGCCGCGCAGCCTCCCCAACCCTGACTCAGCTTTCCCGCGCGTCCCGGCCAGGCCAGTGCGCCTGCGCAGAGCTGCCTCACTGTGACTCAGCGGCTCCGAGAAGCGGAAGGACTGTTCGAGAAGGGAGGCGGAGGGGCGAAGAGTGGGCGGGCCGACGGGGCCGCGGCGGGGCGGGATTGGTCGGCCGCGCGGTGACGTTTAGGGGCGCGCCCAGAAGGCTGGACCTCCATGGGGCGGGATTGGCCAGCCTGGCGGTGACGTCGTCGGGGTGCGCCGGGAACTCCCTGGCTGTCGTGGCGCGCTGACCTGGCGGCTGTGAATAAATGGCGGGGAGTTCAGGGCAGGGTGATGCTGCGCTCTCCCGCGGGCTGGGCTGGGCTTCGGCCGGAGCTCGGATCCCGTTTTCCTCGTCCTTTCGGCCGTGTGCCCTGGGGCTGACCACGGGAAGGGAGACCCAGCTCTCCGACTCCGCCACCTTCCGCGCGCCTCCGCGGCTGCTCGGGCTTCCTACGAGAGCCAGGTAGGGGCCGGGCCGGAGGAACCTGCCTGGGGTCCAGGGCCGAGGGAGCCTTCCCGGATGCCAGGGCCGGGGAAACCTGCCGGGGGTCCAGCTCCGGGGTCGGGGGAGCCTGCCCATGGTCTAGGTACGGGCTGGGCCGGAGTAGCCTGCCCTGGGTCCAGGACCGGGGCCGGCCGTGGGGCGCAGGGGCCACTGTTGTAAACCTCGCCGGGCACGCGTGCTCCGGCTTGGATGGACGGTTAGGGCCTTAATATGCTAGCAGAACGACCCCCGGTCAGGGGCTCTCACGCCGCTGCTGTGATGTCAGGGGTAAGACCACGTCTGGATTGACGTCCGATTCCCGTCGGTTCGTGAACTAGAGATCTCGGAACGCCCACTCTGTGTCGCGAGTTTGCTACGCCCTTCTGGTACAGCGATGGGCAAACTCTGCGCCCCTAGAGCTGAGAGTAAAGAACGAACCTGCAGCTGGAAACCCAGTGGGTGGGTGCCGGGAAAGGAATAACAGGATCCTATTGGAGCAGAGGATTTGTGACTTAGGCGGGGCGTGTGAGGTGTTAGGAAAGACCCTTTCGAGGAAGTGACACTTGAAACCGAGACGTGAGGGACTGAGTAGAGGTTAGCTGTGGCCAGAGTCTCCCGGGCTTAGGGGACAGCATAGGAGACGCTCCCAGGAGTGGAAACAGCTGATGTGAAGATCCAGAAAAGGCCCTTGGGGCTTAAATTTGGGGAGGGACAAGAGTTTCGAGAGGTTCGGTGGGTACACGGAGGGGACCTTGTGAGGCGTGCTATGGACTTCAGTTTTCTCAAGTGCACTTGCTTCCCCGGTTGTCGGCCTGTTTTCCAGGGTGAGTTAGCACCTTGCTCTTCTTCCTGATCAACTCCAGGTTGATTGTCATCGAGGAATAAGTTCTAAGTAAAACTCAATGCGTGAGGGAGTTAAAGGGAGCAGCCAGGGACAGAGTTGAGTCTCTTCGGGATTGTGTCATCAACTAATGTGATTTAGCACCTGGTAACAGAGTTTTGTTTATGTCAACAAGTGTGTTTAGTAGATGAACTTTTGACTTTAGCTTCACGAGGCTGTGACTTTCACTGGCAACTGTGTAAAATGAATCTGGGAAGCCCCTGTCACTATGAGTCAAATATGGTTTAACGAAAACCTAAATTTGCGGTGAGCTTCCTAAAGTAGGAAATAAAAGGACTGAAAAACAATTCGTTTTGTAATGGGGTCGATTTTGAATGAGCTGGTGCTTGTGCCAAAACTCCGGTTTTTCTCTATGCTGAAAGAGAAGAATTTGTGAAGCTTTAGTCCCCCACAGGGGCCCAGGGTGACTGGGATGTTTAGTGCTCCCTGCAGAGCACGTTTGTTTACTTTGTTAGCTGTAAGTTACAAATCCTGGTGATTGGGATGGGGTGGCATTGCTTTCCTCTTAATTGTTCTCTTTTTTGTAGGTGATACTTCGCTCTGCCCTCTGCTTTGGACACTTGCTCACAATGGAGTTCCCTGATTTGGGGAGACATTGTTCAGAAAAAACTTGCAAGCAGCTAGGTAAGCACTTTTAAGAGAATATTTATAGGAAATGGATGTTTTGTTCGCCCTTTTGTGGGGGGAGAACTGGCGGTTACCTGAATTAGCTGCTGTTCTTTGGGTTTTGGCCTTTCTGGCTTTTCAGTGTTGGGAAACTGGCCTGAGGTGCTTGTACTCTTCAGTGTTGTTATTTAGTGTCTATGTGGCCAGATAGGAGGCTAGCTGCTAGGGCCAAGTGGATACACGTGTGCTACATAAGTACTTGTGATGCCACCAGATAGGATCTCTTTTGAAAAGATAGCTTTATAGATTCTTCAGTGTTGCGGTGAAATTCATGTGAATTTTATGACCCCCAGTTTTTTTCTCAAGTGTGATAATTCAAGGATGTATTTGATAGGCATAAAGAACCTAGTGTAGATAAATGCCTGTTTAATATGATCAATAATTCTTTTGTTCTAGTCTTTAAAACATGTTACTTTTTTTTTTTTAGATTTTCTTCCATTAAAATGTGATGCATGTAAACAAGATTTCTGTAAAGATCATTTTACCTGTACTGCGCATAAATGTCCCTTTGCATTCAAGAAGGTAATTTATCATACTTTATTCAAAGGGTTCTAATCTTTACTCTCTAAAGCTGTGTTGCCCATAATAGTAGACACTAGCCACGTGTAGCTAATAACTTAATTAAAATTAATTATAATTTAAAATCCATTTTCTTAGTCACATAGCCGCATCTTGGGTGTTCATTAACAACTCGTGGCCGGTAATTGCTGTATTGGACAGTGCAGATATGGAGCATTTCCACCATTGCAGGAAGTTCTAGATAGTACAGGTCTTAAAGCAGCAGATTTTACTTGGAAGGACTGGGTAGAGTCAAATTGTTGTTGTATCCAAACCTTCAAAGCTTACTTTACGTGTTAGATACTTAGTTCCTTTGATTCATTGCACCAAGGAAACATACAGCTGTATCTTTATGGGGTATAAGAAATGGTTTAATGCTTGGTGTGGAATCTAATCTGGAAGGTGTTAAAAATGCTTACTTACCTGGGTAACTTTGCAGCCTTGACGTGATATTTAAGTGATTCAAATAGTACCTGAAAGAAACTGGAAGATGACTTGAAGAAAACTGACTTGCATAAGTTCAAAGGTTTAAGATTTTGTTATTGACTTTTTAGATGGCTCCCAGCCTGTGTTCACTTTGTTTTGAGGTGGCTCAGAGATTATTTTAGTGAACTCTTCGTATCAGCGTTCTGCTGCTTCACCGTGAGGGCAGTTAGAAGCGTGAAAGACTTAGCATTACAGACGGCGGGTCAGTGGCAGCCAGGGCCTGACCTTCCAGTGTTTCCTAGGTCATTGTGGGGTGGGGGAGGGTGACTCGAATTATTCATACTCACCAGGCACTGATGACTAGGCCAGACTACCCCGTTCATTTGTTGACTTGACCTTCTCATGTCCCTTTTTAGGGAGAGTCTGGCTAGAGATTGTTGATAATGCTTTATTTCCTCATTTGGCAAACTTGCCAAGTGAGGGAGTGCCCCTGGATGACTGTTGCAGCTCAGCCCACAGACAGTAGGCCTTCATAATTCTGTGATTACCTGTCACCTGTCTGGATGTCAGTTGTCACCTCATTTTTCTCATTGAGCTAAGTTTCCTCAGCTCCTTGGTAGCCCAGAGGTTTTTTAACTGCGTTGGGCAGTCAGTTCTTGGTTCCCTCCAGAGCCCCCACAGTGAGCTTGCATGATCATTATGTACCTTAGAGCTCAGCCTAGCTGTGGTCCCTTGTCAGCTGATGAGTGAGTCTCCCTGCATGTAAAAGCCGTGTAAGAAGCCCCAAAAGGATCAGAAAGGCTGTTGGCAGTTGGTGGGAGCTGGAGGACCTTTATGGCTTTTTCTTCTGTCATGTCCAATCTGGAGGTGTTTGGGCAGGTTTCTCTCTCACCTGGACAGTGCTGGACAAACAGCCCTGCTGTCCTGAGACCATCAGATTGATGTCACCAGCTTCCTTCCTTGGCTGTCTGTTATTGACTGTCTTAGGGTCATATCTATGGTTGATTAATAGTCCGTTACATTTAAATTCCACTAGATTCCACTTAAGGCAACTTTATCCTCAAGTTCTGGGGATGCCTTACTGTTAATACAGTACTGACAGGTGTACTGACAACACCTCCTTCTCCTGGGTGGTTGATAGCAGTGTTTGTACTCTGCTTGCTTTTGAATGTGCTGTACCACTGGACCTTTTCTTTTGTGAGTTTTGTCTGAATCTGGAATATCATTTTATATCCATTATTTTTAGGATGTTCAGGTCCCAGTGTGCCCACTTTGTAACAACCCAATCCCAGTAAAAAAGGGAGAGATACCAGATGTGGTGGTTGGTGAGCACATTGATCGAGATTGTAAATATCACCCTGGGAAGAAAGAGAAGGTAAGGACACTTCTGTGTCAGCTCTGGGAATGTTGGGTTTTCCTTAGGGGGGGAAGGTCAATGATCTAACTATGCAAATTAGTCCTAATAGTTTGTGTGCAAAACATAACCCTACTGATATATCAGTGCTTTCCCGTCTTGTGAATGGCATGGGTTTTTATAATTATGTAAACATGTTTTTTAAATATTAGGGTCTGTATTAGGATTTGCTTCCTTTGCAGGAATTTCACAGTTTTTCTCTCAAGATGGAGAGTTAATGTGATTTCCTAGACCCAGTCTGTTAATGGGCACTTTTTTCCTCGGCTCCTCCTAGGGAAATGTAAAGGGTATAAAATTCAAGCATTCAGTGCTCTTGCTTTGGTGGCGTTAGTGTTTTTATTAAAGTTATACATCTATTCACTTGGAGTAAAGCAAGTTAGGAAAAACAACAGGCCCCTGCTCCCCACGGCAACCACTTGCAACCTTTAGCCAGTTGTGTTTGTGTGAGCATCTGTGCTGTTACAGCTGGAGTGTGTTTTGCTCACCTTTCAGTTTGGGGTGTTACTTGTTTACCACAGTGTGAGCTGAGCCCTGAGCTCCTGTCTCCCCTCTGACACTCCACATTCTCTCCCCATCCTCCACCCTCCCAGCAGACTCTGAGTATGCTTTTAGGTGGGGGTTCCAGGCCTCTGTCACCTGAGGACCCAGCTGAGAGATTCCCTTTGCCTTTCTCTTACAGTGGGTTCTCGTTTCCTGCATCTCCTGACAATGGGTCCTGACTTTTCTGTGCCCTGTGTTTTTCTTTCTTGGTTTATTCCTTGACTTTGGTGGCGGCACGTCCTCCACGTGCTTCCTGGGAGGAGAATGGAAGGTAAATTGAGGTCATGCATTTCGCAGGGTCTTTATTCTCCACTTCTGCTTAGTCAGCTGCCTGGGGATTGCGTTCTCACTTGAGTTCCCCCTCGGATATTTGCAGGCATTGGCTTGTTTTCTTGCTTTGGCTGTTGCTTTAGAGAATTCCCAGCCCATTCTACCTTGATCCTCTGTGGGACCAGTCTTCCTCCTGGCAGCTTGGAGGATCTGCTCCTTGGCCCGGGGTTTGGAAGCTTCACATTGAACGTTCTCGTGTAGATCTGTCTTCATTTGTCATGCTGGGCACAGAGTGGACTCTTCCACACTGGAGACTCCAGTGCTTCCGTCTGGACCCTCATCTTGGATTCTTCAATTTTCTCTGGACTCTTATACTTGGGTGCTAGACCTCCTGGACAGGTCTCCTTTTTTTCCTCTTAAGTTTTCTTTTCCTATATAATCTGCATCCAGGTTGTTTTTCCTGTGTCACAGTATGTGTCCTCCTCACGTGCCTGGTCTGTAGCTGACTGCTCATTTGCACAGTGTGGGCAGTGTGGGCTGTGGCTTTCACTGTGGCTCATCTGTCCTGTCTACTTCCTCAGGAAACCCCAGGGGTCTGTGACTACGGGTCTTTCTCTTGGGCTAATCAGATTCCCCAGAGAAGGTGTTCCCTTCCCCTGCGTGGAGGGCACACTCCTGGCTTCCAGAATCTTGGGAGCCAAGTGGAGAAAGCAGTCAGATCTCCACGTGGAGCGTGAACTCCTCACTGTCCTCCGAGGCCCCTCCCGTCTTTCTCGTGGTCCTCCTGCCCACTGCTGTGCTTCCCAGGCCAGCAGCCTCTCTCTGATCCTCTGCAGAGTGTGAGTCTTCTGCTGGCATTGGGGAGACGTCTTGGGTCTGTTTCTTAAACAAACTTGCAGTCATTTCTACTGTTGTGGTCCCATGTCACCCTGAGCCTCTAGTACTACCAACTTCCGAGCCTTTGGGGGTTTTGTTTCGTAAACGGGGTTGCTTCTTGACCTCCCTACCAGCTTATAATTTGCTTTCTCGTCTGCAAGTCCGTTACTCACCATGTGCTTTTTTTCCTAAACTCTTGTGGCTATTTTCTTTTTATTCTTTGCCCTTGTAGGTTTATCCCTTTTCAGAAAATCTCTTTTTTGTCATTTTTATAGTATTTCAGGAGGAGTCAGAGCCAGTATGTGTATCCAGTTCTCCATCCTTAACCAGGAGTCCTAGCAGACTCAAGGAGAACTTTGCCTTCAGTAGATGGCAGGCAGCAAGTTGTTCTCTCCTCGGGCTGCAGATTTCAGAGCCTCTCAGGCCTTCCCCAGAGTCACCGGCCAGGTCTGGTCTGGGCCAGCCCTGCAGGTTTATACAGGTGGTTTTTCTAAGGCCGGCTGCTATTGGAGATGCACTGCTCCTTCTTTCCTGTCCTGTTGCGCTCTGGAGTAAGCAGACGGGCTTTGAAGGAGCTTGTCTTCAGGCCCTTGGCTTTTGTCAAGCCTCAATCACAGTTTCTAGTCGTGGATCCTGGTTTGTAGTTATCAACTATCTTAATATGGTACATTAAATACATAACAATTATATTTCCAATAAATAAATGTAAGGCCCGTTAACTCTTGCTTTCTGTTTTTAACCTCAGACAGGAAAGCATGAAATCTGTCTTCCTTAGCCCAGTGTGCACGGCACTTTGTCAGTCACTTACTCCAGCCCTTCCTCCCCTGTTCTTCCTCCTCCTCTTGCACGCCAGATGCTTTGCCCTCCAAGCCCTCTAGAGCTTCTTTTAAAACCTCCCTGCCTTTTTCAAGACCACAGCTCCTCCTGGCATGACTTCCTCCCATATGGACAAGGTCCTCCTTATTCTTGGCTCTACAGATTTACCGCCTAAGTCCTTCCCCCACCCTCCCCCCACCAGCCTGGGTGTGCCCTCCTTTGGTCTCCCGAGCACTTTGCAGCTGCTGCCTGCAGGTCACTAGAAGCAGCCCCCACAGCCTGTCCTTGCCAGAGGGCTGCCCGGACCCTCCCTTGTCACTGCCATTCTTACCTTCACAGAGTCCCAAGTGCCTGGGAATTTATATCACCCCCCCCCCAAAACCCTCAGTAACTAATGGGTATAGGGCCTATAGACAGGTATTTCAGCTCCCTTGCGCTTGATGGGGACAGCCTTGTTCCCAGAGCTCCTGGAGCCAGCTGCCTGCTGTGGGACTGTGCATAAGGCCACAGGCTTGGCCTCCTTCCCTGCCATGTCCCAGGTCCCCGCTCCCCTGGGTTTTGTCTTTTTCCTTGAGAACACCTCCAGTCATCTCACATGAATCCTCAACTTAGTAGCTGCTTTTGTATTTATCACTTGTCAAAACTTTTCTGTCTCCTTAATTAGTATTCATCTCTTTACCTGACAGTAAGATGTTTGAGTGAAACCTTGACATCTTCATTCTGTGCAGCTAAGAGCTGTTTCTAGTTTAAATGTTAATCATCTTCTTGGGGGGCTTGTTAAATAATTGCTTATTGATGCAATTGAAATATTGAAGTAACTGTTGCTTTCTCAGATTTTTACATACCGGTGCTCAAAAGAGGGATGCAGAAAGAAAGAGATGCTGCAGGTGGCTTGTGACCAGTGTCACGGCAATTTCTGTATTCAGCATAGACATCCTCTGGATCACAGCTGCACACGTGGGAGCTGCCCCATCACCGTGGCCGGGTGAGAGGAGAGTCTTAGCTCCGACATGCTGGCTTCAAACATGCAGTAACATGAGAACCAGCTTCAGCCCCAAGGGGGGTGTAGAACAACTTTGAACATTGTTCCATACCAGGTTGTTGATGTTAAATATTTGCTGTAGGAGTTTGGATGAATATAGTCTAAATTAAAATTGGATTCTAAATTAAAGTTGGATTTTAGTTGTGTTGTTTCCTGTGACTGTCGTAACAAAGTACTGCAGACTGGGTGGCTTAAATGACAGAAATTCATTCTCTCACCGTTGTGGAGGCCTGAAGTCCCAGATCCACGGTGTCACAGGGCTGGTTCCTTCTGAGGCTGTGAGGGAGAATCTGCCCCAGACTCTCCCCTCATTGCTGGTGGTTTGCTGTCAATCCTTGGTGTTCCTGGTCTTGTAGACACATCACCCTGATCTCTGCCTTCATCTTCATGTGGCCTTCTCCCTGCGTGTCTGTGTCCACATGTCCCCCTCTTATTAGGACACCAGTCCTGTTGAATTAGGGTCTCACCCTGCTCCACTATGAGCTCATCCTAACTACTGTAATCATATCTGCAACGACCCTACTTTCAAATAAGGTCACATTCTGAGGTCCTGGGTGTTAAGGACTTCAGCCTCTTTTTGTGGGGACACAATTTAACCCATGCACTAGTGTTGCTAACCAGGGGAGTGCCTTCTTCAAGTCGGTAGAAACATCTGCTTCAACCTGCTGTTGAATAAAAATGGAAGCAGAAGTTCCTTTTTAGTTCCATCTGATTGTGTCTCATGTTATCTGCACCTGAACCAGGCTGCGGGTTCCCTGTGTCACCACTTATGTGGCTTTCTCGGTAAGCAAATGAAGGGGTTGGATGAATAGTGATCTCACCTTTCTGTGTAGATGTTCAGCTGCGAGAGCCTCTGAGTCCAAGCCATCGGGAGCTCTACACACCCTGTCTTCCAGTTGGCTAGCTCAGCGATTCAGGTATCAGTCCAAATGGCATGCATGGTTGTTGTTGCTTTTGTATCGGGTGTGGCAGCTGTGTGTCCCAGTGGTGAATATTGAAGAGTGCAGTTGGTACTGCAGTTAGTACCTGGCTGTTTGAGGTTACATGCTCTGCCAGTGTACAGCTGAATCCTAAGGAAGGGCAATGCAGGGCTTGAACTGCAGCTTTCTCGAACCCCAAATTACAAGTGCAGTTCATTCCTACACAATGTATTCCAGCAGTAACCCTGTATAGCTGGCTTCTGAAATACCTTATTTGGCCTAGATCTTTTATATGATCAACCACTTCTAGTTAAAACAACTCTAAAAAGTAAGCTATTCTTTTGTTCTCTTTCAGGTGGAAAGTAAAGAGATGACGTGACTATCTGTTCAAACAGGCACGTTAGCTTATTTTTGTATATAGTTTTAACTTTGTGGATAGCTCTTTTGCTCTACTACTTTCATACTTATTACGGCAAACAGTATGAAATTGTATTTAACTTTTCCAATACAATGTACAAATTCTTTTGGCAGAAGAAACAATCAGAAGGGTATTACTGTTCTAAGGTGGGCAAAGCTACTATAACAACTTCCCTCCCCCCAAATAAAATAAAGAGACTTAAAGGACAAAGGATCTGAGTGTGCCAGATCAGAGGGCAGCTCTCTGTCTTGGGCTCAGGCAAGGACACAGTCTTCCAGAAGCTTCTGTCACTTAAACAGCTGATCACACTCGGTCTTCATTGGCTTCTGTAGCAATTGGCCATCTGAACCCAGGAAAGGGGATAGGACTTACACTTACCTTGTTAAGGGTCCTTGTCCAGAGGCAGCCCCCAGCCCACCACTTCCATTCCCCTGAGATAGCAGTCCTGTGACCATACTGACTCCAAGCATGAACCGTACACTCACGGCCTCGGTACCTGTTGACAGAGCTCTCGTTTCTGAGGACCGTGGGTGTTAGGATTCAAGGTGAAACCAAATGGCATCGAGTTGGGTCCTGATCTTAACCCACTGGCAATCCTGCTATACATTCCGGACATCCCATTGTGCCTGGATTGACAAAAATCCAAGCAATTACTCTGTTTTTCTGGCTTCACAGCCTCCAGATATAATGAGGGGAGGGGCTCGTATTCAGTTTCCATTCAACGAATAGGTGGTTAGAACTGTTTCTACCCTCTGTCTCATTTAGTGGTCTTTGTTCTGGACAGTGGTTCTCAAGCTTGAGTATGTGTCAGATGGCCCAGAGGGCTTGTTAGAACAGTGCTGGGCCCACCCCAGAGTTTCTGAGTCTGTGGGTCTGGGCTGGACTCTGAGAATCTGCACTTCCTACAGGTTCCCAGGTGATGCTGATGCTGTTGGCCTGGGGACCACACCTGGACAAACCACTTTTCTGCATCTTTGCAGTCCAGTATGGCAGTCATTAGCCATATATGTTATGGAGCACGTGAAACATAGCCAGTGCAACCGTGGAGCTGAATTTTTAGTTTTAATTAAGTTTAACAACGATTAACTTGATTCCGTTATTACAAAACTTTTAAGTATGTTAGGAACTTGGGTGTGTGAATCTGTTTTTTCACCTGTAAATTTTATCAGATCGAGTCTTCTTATGAAAATTTAATGTCCAGATTGAGAATCTGAAACACACTGGGCCTTGAAGACCATGCCAAAAAAAGTAAAATCTCTCTTTGTTAAAAATATTGTTTATGTGTTGAAATGATAATATTTTGGATATGATGGGTTAAATAAAACATTAAACTTAATTTTACCTGTTTTTGTTTTGTTTTTTAACTGGCTGTTAGAAGTGTTAAAAACAGGTAGATGGCTTACATTATATCTTTATTAGATAGCTCTGTTCTTGATCATCCAAACTAAAGGACAAAAACATCCACATTTTGTCGGGAAGGATTATCAACTTAGGAGTCTACTCATGTTTCTGTCTTCAGATGTGATTGAAATATGTAACTACAGTACTCAAGAGCTTTCTGAGAAGCTTGAAGCACTTAGCATTTTCCCTTAGACACTGTGTTAATAGACATTCAAACAGCCTGAAAGGGTGTGAAAGGTTAGGAAAGCAAAAGTCCCCTTGCTCCTTGTCACACTCCGCAGAACTAAGTCACTGCTCAGTGTCGTGTGCATCCAGAAGTTTCTGTCGTTCACAGATGTTGAGGTCCTGGTTTACCTACCTCACTCCCTGCTCTTTCCTCAGACTCCACTACGAGCATCTCCGCATCAGTGTAGCAGGGCTCACAGTCTTCCAGGAGGTTGGCTGTGTTGTCGTCTTTCTGCCAGTCGGCTGGTGAGGCACTTAGAGTGGTTTCCTAGTATTAGTGTTGTGTGCTGAAGGGGATGTGTGTTTTAAAATTTGATAGAAGCTGTCAAGTTACCAACCAAAGAGTCATACCAACTTCCTCTCCATCAGTTTCACCACACCCTCATCAACTCTTTTAATGATTTAGTTTTTTCCTAATCTGGTGAAAACATGGTGTCACCTTACTTTAAATTGGCACATCTTCAATCAACAAAGTTGAGCATCTTTTCCTGTAAATTGTCTAAAGAATTTAAGCTGAGAGAGTCAGTTGGTGTAGATGCCCCTGAGTGGTTCACAATGGGCCAAGAGTTCTCTATGTGGCAATGTCCCAAAGGATGCGGAAGCCACAAGTGTATTTTAAATTGTCATAGAAAAGTGCTAATATTCGTATGAGTAGAAAGTTTGGAGCGTTCTTTTTTTAGTGTCAAAAGTTTGCATGCATTTTTGAGGAAGGATTTAGCGGTAACCTGTGCTCTGTCTTCATCTGTCCGGGGTGGGAAGCGGTTCACTTTGCTTGGCTGCTAGGGCGCTTCACTGGAGATGCTTGAGAAACACCAGGTGGTAGAAGGAGCTTTGGAGTATGAAATTTGGGATTAAGTCGTGTCTCGGCCATTTGATGAGTGATCCTGAGCAAGTTGTGTAGCTGTTGGCTACAGTTCTTTACCTGCAAAGAGCAGCCACAGGTATGCCTGAGTGAAGGGCACTCTACGTCCCAGATGCCGTAGGAGGTGCTGGGTGTGTCTTGCCTGCTGTGTTCCCTGGTTCTTGGGCATCTCCTCCAGGATGGAGAATGCTCGAAGCCCAGGTTGAAAGTCTCAGGTTGAAACCTGAAGCCTCACTGAGAGGGGAATGGGCATCACTGCCCAGCCTGTATACCCCTACTCCCCTGCTGGACCAGTGCGTGGACAGTCCACCTTGTGAGGTTATCAGCCTTATCTTGGGAGAGGGCTTTTGGGTCTGGCTGATGTGGGCAGTGAGTGAGAGCTGATTTATAAGCTAAATGTTTTTCTTATGGGCTGGGACAGGCTTGGCAGCAGGGGCCTGAGGCCTTCAGTCTTGAGCCCCTCCTCACAGTGAGCAAGTAAAGCTGTGCCTCTCCATGCTTGTCCTGGGTTGGGTATGGGCTAGTGTGGCCAGCTGCTTCAGGGCAGGCCTAGAGACAGGCTGTTGTTCCCGGTGTCCGGTGTCTAGTCTACAGCCTGGAAGGGCTGGTCACTGCCTGCTGTGCTGTTGTGCAGGCTGCAGTATCAGACGTGCTCACAAGGTGTCACCCAAAGGCCTTCCTCTGAATGGGGACGAGGGTTGACTAGAAGGTTAGTTCCTGGTGAGGAACTGGATACAGTATCACAGGCAGAATAGATAGAGCCAGCCCTTCAATCCCAAATCAGTGTTTGCAGGTTATTCTTGTTAAACGGCATTGGGGTATTTTTAATTAACCTTCCAGATTCATTCTTTGCAATAAGCCAAGACCAAACTTGAAACATAGGTTCTGAAATGAGTTCTTGAAATAGGTCAGCAGCTGAAATATTTGTAGTTTTCAAGTTTTAAGCTTGAGAATCAGGATCTTTGATGTTCATTCATGTCACGTGTCTTAAGAGAGTTGGTGTGTCTGGGGATGGTGGTGAGAGGGCAGCTAGTCTGACTCTTCTCTTTGGTCTGCTGTGAACTTTCCCAGATGAATGTTGATTTGCTTTATTTTGCTGAAAGGATGTAAGAGCCTACAATCCCAGTTTGCTGTATAAGGTGA